CTGCCACGATCACCACCTAAGGTGAAGAGATGATAGTCAGCAGGCAGAGGCCAGCAGCTCTGAGGTCATACTGCACCGGTTCTGCTTCTCTCTCCCAGAACACAACCAACAGAGACACAATCTAAACATTCAAGGTCTAGAAGCAGGTATTAAGAACCTGTCTGAACAAACTTTTTCTGAGACATGGCCTTACTATGTATGTCGCCCAGGCTGGGCCCTGAACTCATGGCGACTCTCTCTCAACCTCACCCTTTCTTCAGTGCCTCTGTCAGTGCCAAAACTGCTTACACAGGAAATTTTTTTTTTTTTTGGCGGAACCAGGGATTGAACTCAGGTCCTTGCGCTTGCCAGGGAAGTGCTTATTCCACTAAGCCATCTCCCTGGCCCCATACACAGGAAATTCTTGATTGCTACTTGCTTCTACCACACCCCCTAATTCTACCACCCTATCTCAGTCTCTGCATGACATTTCAGAACTGATCTCACAACTACAATGTAAGGGTCTATTTGGTAGCTATAGTTTACTACATCCACTAAGGTAGCACAAGAAAGCTGAGAAGACACTTACAAAACTTTTACCTACCCGGGGGTGGGAAGGGTGGCGGGAGGAAGCCTTCAGGTTTTGGGGCCTTACACTGGTTGCATTCTGTTCTCCAGGCAAAGTTCTGGTTTCCACAACCCCTGAATAAAGTTACATCACAGTAGAAATCAAGAAATGAAATAAGGAAGTACTATGAGCAAGGGCAACATTTTGCACTCTATATCAAACTATCAGGCCTGGAGCCCAAAGCATACAAGCGAACATCCAGAAAAATGGTTTGAATTACAGGCGGCAGTGTACCCACAGGCCCAGATGGAGCAGTTCAGGATGGCAGATCGCTGTTCCCACCTGGACAGTCACTCAAGTCTCATATTTTTCTGTCTGGAGACAAGGTCTAACTATGTACTTCAGGGTGGCCAGGAAATTGTGGTGATTCTCCCGTCTCAGCCTCCCAAGTGCTATGATTACAGGTGTGTGCCACCATGTGTGGCAGTTATTATACTACTCCAAACAATGAAGTACATACGGATTGGGACATTGCCAATCTCCAGCTCGATGTTGGACGTTTCCTCCTCCAGAAGGGTTTCCACGGGAACCCCGGGGGCCTCTTGGAGGGAAGCCTCCTCTGTCTCCTCCACGACTTCCCATGTGACCCATGGGTCCCCCAGGACCTCCTGGGCCACCTGGACCTGCAACAAGAAATAGCCAATCACCTCTATAGAACCAGCTTTGCTATAGAAAACACACTCCTTCAGAGGCCCAATGACCTACTACAGGCATTAGCATTCCCATGACTAACAAGCCAGGTACCAGATGGCTGTCCATGTATAATATTCTTTCCACATGTTACTTCATTTAGCTCCCAACAATCCTGCCACATTTCCATGCAATGAGACCAAAATGGCAGTCCCAGAACTGACACCCAGGCAGAGGTGCCGTAAGCCTGCCAGGCTCTAATTAACCCACATTTTACAAACATTTGCTTTTTGGGGTTGTCTTT